ATATTAGCACGACGATTCCCCCTGTCACTGAAATATCGAATGTGATATTGGACGTGGGAAGCAGGAAAAGTTCTTTGGAGGTTTTGGCACAGTTGAGGGGCACAGATGCGACCACCACGCAAAGAGATCTGGAAACTACCACCTTGTCACAGGTTACAACTGGCCAACCGAACACACCGACTACCGATGAAGTCACGACGCAGAATGGAGTAGGTTCAGTTACTACCTTGTCACCTACGACTGAAACCGAACAATCTAACGCGGTGGTAACCACCCAAGGAACGACTACGCAGGATCAAATCAATTCAGTAACGACTACACCCAATCCAACAACAACAACTACTATTATTACAACAACACAAGACTCCCAAACAACTACCGTTGACAACTCAAACAACTCTACTAGTCCACCATTAGACACAGAAGTGACTACTTCGCAGGTAGTTGCTTCCACCACTGACACGTTACTAACAGAATTAATGTCCATTGCCAAGACACTTCTCACGGAACAGATGAATGAGACCAACGCATCGATGTCTGTTCAAAATCCGAATAACACAGTCGATTCGTCGACGGGTGCGCCAGACACTACCCAAGCTATAGAATCGTCGTCGATTCCTCCAGACGTCACGACTGAAACCGTAGAGTCAACATCAACTACTGTAGCCATGCCAGATTTAACTACTCTTTCCGTTGACCCCTCCCAAAACGAAGTGGATTCCGTAGAACCCACTACAACTGGTTCACCTTCGGAAAGTTCTTCAGACGCGTCCCCTACAACCCTCCAGAGTAACGTACCCGACAATGAAGTGGAAATTGCGCAGACAAACCAAACCACACCGTTAGGACGTCTCGCTGAAAGCGTAGAGTCCACCACTCTCTCGTTAACAACAGAAAGCGGGCCGCAAACTACTCCCTCGAGTAGAATGTCAGATTCAGAAACAGGCTCAGACACAACGACACAATCACAGACAATCACACCAGCTTCGGATACGACAGTTGCGAATATCGAGCTAACGACTAACACGTACGATTTAATGTCATCTAACCCGATCACAACGACCGAGACCCAAACGGAAGTAGCTACCGCATCTACAGACACCGTGGCACCACTAACCAATTCCTCAACAGTAACACCACAGCCTATGATAGACAATAGCACTAACGAGCCCAATGTAACTACAACGGTTATGGTCCCTGAAAGTATCCTCTCCCGTGTAAATATGGTTACCAGTACACCGTCGACATCGTCTGAATCGAACACCGAGCAAACCACGCTGGTGCCTACTACAGACTTGGTTCGGAATGTATCTAGCGACGTAAATGTTGAAACTAACACAACAACGGAAGCTGCGACGGAGTTAACATCCTTAGTCGCTGGCACGGCTGACACTTCTACAGCCAGCGTGCCGACTACCACGCAGTCGCTGAATGTTAATACAATGGATGTCACGGAGGTTACTACTAACCAGCCCCCTCTAACATCTACCGCAGTAACCGCAACGGAGGTTACCACTAATATGCCCGATGAAACGACAAATGTCTCCCAAACGACCCCGAACCTCGAGAACGAAATTCCAACTGTTGCCCGTTTCCAGGATACGACATCAGCAACCGCCCAAGGGACGGCAGGTTCAGGGATCGGCCAAACGACCGAGAACACTCTCACGATCACCACCCCATCCTCTTCCTCATCTCCCCCATCTTCTGTCATTACAACCCCATCAGCTTCGGTCGAGACCACGACGAGCATGACAGCGACGCCGACGACTGAGACAACGACATCGACTGAACCGCCTAGAACTACGACTACAATGTCGGCCAGAACGGATGTCTTCACTGTCACACCGATGTCCGAGACGACGGTCACTACTGCCGACATAAACGAGAATCTTGTGCAGACCGAAGCACCTGGAACGACCACGGTTACACCTGATAGCATAATGGCACGAATAACTGCTGAAGGGATGACGAATGGGACCATGGATGGTGCACCTGGAAATGCGACTGCCATGAATGATACCCAAACCAGTACACCTCAGACAACACCTGGAATGCCGATGACAACAACGACTAGACCTCCCAGTCCTCCCACAGCGCCCTATATTGGTCGTTTCGGTGGTAGCAGATTGACACCAGCTCCACGTTTCAGTGTTAGCTCCACCACCAGAGCACCTCTTCGCGATTACTTGATCTACGGGATTTACCCGAACAAAACGATCGTGAGGAAGCGACCGGAGGACAACCTGATCGATGCCAGGAACGTGGACAGCCCGTACGTGATATTCGGTATCTTCCCGGATGGCAAGCTGGTCCGGAAATTCCCGAACGGAACGATTATACCGGATCCACCTAGGAACCCGGTCGAGGTTGTGTTCTCACTTAGCACTACCACTACCACTAACAGGCCACCACCCAGAGTATATTGTAACCAGGCTAACCAAGGCACTTACAATCAGTATCAAGGCCCGGGCTGTAATAATAATCGTATACCTGAGCCGATGAGAAACGTCCCAAGCCCTGGCGTCATTGATGTTCGCTTTTCTGGTGACGCGATCGTCGAACCTAATGGAGGTGGACCCGGTTTCACGGGGCCACTTGGTACCCCTGTTCCGAGCACCAACGAAATGGTATCTCTTATTCCACCTGTTCATCATCGATCGTTAGTCGTGCGCCCGATTTCGTCCGAGAGAAATCGTTCGAGAATACATGTCGGTTTCTTGCTCCGTCATTTTGAACCTTTCGAATGTGTCATTGTTTTGCATGGAGTTTTGCAGTATGCGTTTAGTGATTTTTCTAGTTGCTGATGAACTGAATTGAACCGATAGACAGTTCGATGGTTTACGAAGAAAATAAATATTGTGAGAAGTTTTAACTTTTTTTTAGTTTTACGGAAAGATTATTTATAGACGAATTATAGATGAGGTTCTTGATTATCAATTATAATAGCTGGAATGTACTATATTGTTATTAATGTTAGCTAATTTTTTATAACGTTTTGGCTGGAATATTGAAATGTTGAAATACTTTGGTTGAAGATTCTAGTTGTAAGGGATTGTTAACGATGAACAATTTCAGGACGTAACGATTATTTATTGAAACTTAAAAGTGTAATAACACTAATTCATATTTCAAGTTTTTGTGCTTGCACTATTCTACGAATGTTTTATAGAACGTCCTGTTTGTACTGTAAACTATTTTTCTGAATTCTTTTTCTAACTAGCCTCTGTGAATCTACAATGCCATCTGATCAAATAGATGTTTGAAATTAATCGTACAACGTTATATCTTGGTTAAGCTATCGAACAGTTTATTGTCAATTTAATATGGTTCAAAGGCATTTTAACTTTAACCTTTTACAAGACTGAATTTATATATATTTATTTAATTTATTTAAAAACGACGGGATGAGTTATTTACCTTTAGAATTTGCTACAATTCTAATCTTTTAATATTCCTGATCAAATAAAACAATCAATCTTTAAAACCACAATGTTGTTAATATTTTCAAAAATGGTATTGATATTATAGTTAATGGAGAGAGATCGAAATAGTATACATTACTAGATGAACTGCTCTTATGAAATTAATATTCAATTTGTTGAATTTATTTACTAGAATATTAAGAAAAATTAATAAATGCAAAATTAATTTCATATCTTTAAGAACACGAATTAAATAAAGTTAAAGAAAGTCATAAAGAAGTTTTAGAGTAGATAATTCACCCGAAATATCACGCTATTTATCAAGATAAAATAGTTTTCGTTTTTGTAAGTAGCTAAATTATATTTTATGTTCAACATGACACAGAATACTTGCATCTCGTATAACGCTTTGGTTTCGTTGAAGTAGTACTTTTTGGTAAAGTAATAAACTAATTTTCCCATGTCGTGACAATTAATTATTTTATGGAAATTCTGTAGATACTGTCACGATATATTTGCCGGACCGTCTGTCTTCATCATCTTTCTTTTCTATTTTTTGTTTCCTATGGCGCACGAATCGGTTTAATTTCAACGAATTATAAGAATTTATCAAATGACCACTCGGAGTCCGATCGTTTTCATCATCGGAATACGTATGTATATAATTTTACTGTAGATTTGTAAATAGTTTGTACTTGTGTGCTGCACATTTCGTATTTATACACACCATGCACTTTAAATTGCACTGTATTCGACAGAGAAATCTGACGAATACTGCGTGTTTTTCCAATTTGCACATATTTGAAAATTAGAATTTGGAACCTACATTGGCAATACTAATCATAATAAATCTATACTAGATATGTACATGTAATATAAATATATATATATTTGAAATGACGACAAAGTATTTAAACCATGTGTACAGAAATAGAAGTGGTATTCGATAAACTCTTGAAAACAGGATTTCTTCAATTCATCATCGTCATTCAACCTTCGAACCCAATGACAGATCTCTCGTGACTCGCCATCCATCGAATACAGTGAAACTCTGATCGATTGTTCTCCGTTTTCCCACAATTTAATATTCAACGTTAGTGTATCTTTCCACTTCGATATTATATGTTAAAATATTTAATGCATCAGTAATTCTAAAACATAATAAATTTCCCATTAGTTCTATTACTTATTTGGCATTTTCCAATTGTTTTAGATAAATTATAAATAACTCGCACTTTAATTCCTTAAATTTGTTTTCGTAAGAAAAATTCTTATTAAACTCAACACTTATCGTGAAACTTAAGAATTCCAATTACTATCATGTTTCAATCATTATTTCACTTAATATGTTCTAAATTCTGTACAAACAATCATTCTGTATTTCAAATGAGTAATTTAAGAAATTTACTATAATAATCTATAATACCCTTATTAATTAATGTAATAAGGTCTTGCAAGTCGTTGTAGAAATGAGTGGATCAAATTTTCACTGTCGAATAAAATTAAAGGGTGCTGCTATAATGGAAGAGGTTGTTAATCGGATTAAAGGAATTTGAATACTTTCTTGGTGTTTAGAGCAATACCCCACTGAATACGCAAATGGGGACAACGTCGAGTGCAATGTCTGCGAGTGGTGGTCGGCTGACGCCGATAGTAAGTACCGGTCGACCGCCGACCGATTCGCAGGGCGGTCGTATCGTCCAAGATCGAGAGAGGGACGAGGCCACCAGGACGAAAGAGGCCGGAGGTCAACGCAGCTCCGTGTACATCGGACAGGTAAGAAACCAAGAGAGACAGAGCATGATTTACAACGACGCTGCGGCTGATTCTTTCAGCGCTCCGTCGTATCTCTGTAAAAGAATACAAAAAGGAAATTTTGTGAGGGAGAAAGAGAAACAATGTGGTGTCTTTCAGGACAAGTTCGTCAACTATTGGACCGACGGAGCTGGTAACACTAACCCGCGGGTTGTCAGTGTAAATATCAATTCAGTAGCTGTAAGTAAATTTGACGAGAACATTATGAGACTTAACGTCAGCTACTTATATGGCAATGGACCGTGGATCTTTATGCAAACTTAGATTCTTGAGAGTGCAATTATGAAAGTAGAATTAGGATAAAAGATGGTTTCTTTTTTTGATAAATATTATGAAACTATTACACTTTCAATATTTTAGAGATTTTTTAGAGGTGTTCTGTGCAATTTTGCATTATCAAATTTTCTATGGATGTATAGAAATTCACAGTTTAGTTATGAATACATGCTGGAAAGTGGGTTTTGTAATTTAGAGAAAAGTGAAATCTCGCGTTGCCTTATTATCTTATATAGATATAATACATGTAACATAGCAAACTGTTTGTTTACTTTTTTGGAACGTTAGTTTCACTTAATTTTTGAATGTCAATGTTATCTCACGGATTGCAAAACCTTGTTTCATATTATATCTAACCTAACTAATTACGTTGACAACTATGATAAACATATCATTATACCCTATTCAATTTATTTTCCAACAATAATTAAATTCTTATAACGAGTTTTAACTCCATAATTCAGTATTCTTTTATACTAATCACTAAACTGAAAATCTATGAATAATAAATCATTTTCTTAATAAAAATGCTTGTCAGTATTTATTTTATTTATCTTAGGGTGGCGTAAATGAAGGTCCATCGTCCTCGATAGTCTCATTCGATAACCTTTTGAATAGTGGACAAAACGGACCAGTCACAGCTCCGCCTGGATTCCCATGGAGAGATCCGTTGGATCAAATTTTTGGTATCACTACTTCCTCGCCGGTGATAACAGCTTCAGTAGCTTCGAACACGTTGGTCAGTGTTCATTAAACACTCAACGCTATGTATTTCACTTGCAACTCAATATTCACTTTAAAATCACATGACTGTATTTCTTTATTTCTATATTATTTCTCTATATTATCGAATAATATTATTTATATTACTTCCCTATATTATCAAGTAATATTATTTATATTACTTTACTATATTATCGAGTAATTTTATTTACATTATTTCTCTATATTGTTGAGCAATATTATCTACATTACTTCTCAATACTATACATCATTATTTCTCTATATTACTCTATTTCAGGATGATTTGGCAGATTCGAACGGTCCAGCTAGTCCGGTTAATCCATTTGTCGAGATTTTTACTCCATTCTCTAGTACGATGAACAGAGCTAACCAAATGTCATCAACTCAGGCTCCAGCCAGCCCACCAACGACAGCGATGTCACCTCAGACTACTACTACAACAACGTCGGCACCAATGACGACCACTACTACCACAACTATGGCGCCAACTACGACGACCACAACTACTATGGCTCCAACAACAACAACAACGACGACGACGACATCAACGACAACGACAACGACGACAACAACACCAGCACCAACCACTACCATGCAACCTTCGTCTTCTCCTCCAGCGACGACTGCATCCCCAGTGACACCTAATCAGAATTTGGCTTCGAATCTGTTGAACCTACAAAATAACCTGTCACCAAACGTGCAACAACAAAATGCATTCGGCACAACGTTCGATGACTTAGCATTCTTAAACTCATTGGTGAGTAGATCATTTGTGAAAATATTTTATTTAATGTTTGACTGCTTGTTTTTGTATCAGGTTACTGGAAATTAAATGGTCAATCATTAGTCATGTGTACAGTAGATTTTTATATCTTAATTGTGTCCTTATTAATATTGAAAACAAAAAATTCTTTAAATAAATATAAATGATTGAAGACTTTATAACAAGAGTTCCCGTTTTCTTTTTGAATTTTAAGATTTGAGTAACTTCGATAGATGGTAGTTTAAGTCGGTTATTTTTTAAGCTTCTAAAGAATTTCAGTCAATTAAAGTTGAATGATGTCTGTAATTTAAATAACAGTTCCTCGAAACTTTTCGAATATACCTGGATTTGCGATTATTGGTCATTTCTGAAAGAAAAGATAGGCACTGTCTATTATAATGGATGTCCATCTCTACTACTTTCACTTCAGACGCCTGACACCGGGGTCTAATGAAGTAGACAGTTATCGTGGCTGTCGGTGTATTTTACATTCTTTTTTCAATAAAAGCAAGCCGTAATAAAATGTTTTTAATGCTCTGGTATGATTTATGCAGTTGCAGGATAAGTCCAAAGACACAAGCCCGAAGACTCTTACGCAAGTTGAACAGCTCTTGGCCAATAAGGTAAGCAATTAATGATGAAATAACAACATTTTTCTTTCACTTCGTAGTTCATTTGAAAATATAATAAGAACAAGAACATTAAAAGTTATCGTTTATTCTATGATAGTTACTTTTAAAAGGAAAGAGTAAATAAATCTGGAAAAATAATTGATTTTTAACATTTTAAGCAAATGAAGAGTAATTTTTACCATTTTCATCGTAGTATTAGTTAAAAAGGAAGCTGGATTTTTTAATCGCGAAGAATTCTAAGTCCAATCTAAACATAACTAGTATTAAAAATGAAAACCTTGTATATCATATTTAACATGCCTAATCTTAACTATAATTCTTAAGATATTATTTGGTTCTTTCCATTACTTCGATTAGTTTTCACTTCAATTCCAAAAATAGAATAAAACATAAGAAAATTTGAAAAAACTTACCTATCTACCTAATAAATTTATAGTTTATATACTTAGAAAACTAATTTGTATCAATTTGTAACCTTTAAGATACAATATATAGAATTTTTCTTCCAAGAAATACTATATGAGTCAACATGATTTCATAAGTATAACATTACATCGCCGTGTATATACCTGTTAGCAGTGGTTTCCACTGAATGGGATAAAAAAGTTTGCTATCATAACAATGGCTATAGTTATCATTCGATCTGTGTCGTAGAAACCAAAAAACGGTTCGACTCGATCGTTAATGAGCCCTTTCACTGGCTCATAGAATTGTGCAACGCTCTGTTCGAACCGGTGTTGGTATAATAAGATCTAGTGCTGTTTTCCAACAAATCACTTCTCTGTTCCTGTACTGTCTAAAGAAAAACCGAGAGTCTTAGTTAGAGCGAAAGAAAAAATTCAGTACATTACCTTTAGTTCACCCCCTTCTTTAAAAGACACAGTAACGGATCTATGACGATCGAAATCATGCGATCGACCAGTCACGGTGAATGGACTGGAACAACCTTGCCGACGGCCTTCTGTGTTCTACGCAACGGTTGTCTGATTCGTCATCTTTCGCCTATGCTCTTACGTTAATAGAAGTTAATTTGCGTAACGTTAACGCGGCAATTATACCTGTAGTTGTGCCTTTATTTTTCTCTACATTCGTAAAAGCGGGTACCTAAATACAGGTATAGGATATCGCATATTCAATGCCAAATGTAATTATGAAATTTAATCCTACTTAATACTAGAACTACCGGATTTAAAGTGATTCATTTTAATATTCTTACCTTATAATTAGTAAACTGATACAGATGCTTTTTAAGTTTCAAAGTAAATTTTGGTAGAAATGTAACAGTAAGAAGTGATTTCAGTTTTAAAAAATGTATTTGTGTAATTTTTATAATAAATTATGAATGACTCGCTTTTAGTGTTTGATAGTTTTAGTGTCAATGACGTTTATCACTCTCTTAAGCTTTAGTATTGTGTTGAAGAAGCAAAGACCAATATTAGTTCCGATTTTTCCGAAATAAGTCTTTTAATAGTATATCTATATGATTTCTAATTAACACTGGTCAACAAATTTCACTGATTAATTCTATTCATTTATAATATAATAATATAACATAATTATAAACTATAAATAGTTTTCATTTGTTACCATTTAGATTTATATATTAAGTTAAGAAATGCCAAGGAAACAATTACTTTGTCTTACAACTAGTTTAATAATAGAAGTTCGTTATTGAAATATACTACTACACATATTACGCATAGTTTACAACAAGCTACAACAATGTTCAAACAAAACACTGTTCATAAAAATTCTTCACTAACATTTTTCAGAACACAATTGTCCCACGTAGAAATTCCAAATACTATAAAAGTGAGAAAGAATGAATTTCAAACATAAATTCACAATTTTTAACTTCAACCGTAGATTCTGTCGCTGGCTCTAAACGGACAAGGGCCAAGCCCGACCAGAGCACCAAAAGCCATCAACGTCCAAAACGCGTCTCCAAATTTAATCCTGCCTTCAACAAGATCTCCTTCCGAGCCAATAATCATCGACTTACTGCCATCGTCAACAGCGGGTCCGCCAACGTGGAGACCAGTGCCGACGCCACAGCAACAAATACTGAACGAGGCACCAATAAACGGCAACTCCTTGCCCGGCCAAGCAACGAAGAAGCAAATTTCAACCACAACCGCCAAAAGCAACAAACTTTCGTCCACCACAGCTAGAACGAGTTTGATAAGCACGACAAAGGGTCCAGTATCTAACACAGCTAAACCGCCGACTATTCCGCGACCCAAGACCACTACCCAAGCACCATTGGGACTCGGCGCAAGTTTGTGGCAAGCGTTGTTCGGCGGTGGTCTGTTTGGCCCGTCGACCACTGCCAGACCTGTGAAGCCAAAACCAGTGAAGACTACTCCGAAATCGATTAACATTACTCCCAAGCCAATTCCAACGACCCAAAAACCAGAAACTACTCAAGTAACTCCGTCCACGACTACGTTCAGGACTGTAGATATCTCGAAGATTGGAGTCGGCACGCCGAATTCGATCGTAAAAGAAGCGAAATCAGTGACCACGCCTCGTTCTATATCCACGGCGAAGTCATCGTTGGCGAATAATCCGAAGCCGAAAGTTTCAAAGACAGAGGCGTCCACTTTCTCCCCTGAAGACGATGCGAAATTCTTAGTGGCACTTCTGCGCGCTGTTCAAGATGGTAGGTGAAGTTTCATTGAAGTTATGCGTAATGGATGATTATTTGATTATAAATAAATGTTTGAAAGTGGTTGTAGTGAATATTATAAGTTAATATGTCTTTAATTATACATGGAACGAAATTGTACTGGAATACTTGTTCGATATCTTGGATTATGAAACGTGATAAGATAAATTAGTCCACTAAAACTGGAAATACTCTTTGTATTATTGTTGTAATAACATAATTGGGATACGTATTTATTTAGTTGCACCAATCAAAATCGGCTTTTTTCAAATAATGTTTATAAAATTTAATATTAGTTGAATTCCATAAATCTAGTGTTGCATTGAAGTAATCAGGATATAATGTTTATTAGCTAATTTTCTAGAGGAAAACCAGCATAAATAGATATAATTACACCGAATAGCTACAGAACGTTTACAGGTTTTTCTAAGACTCACAGCGTTTGTTACAAGTTAAATAAATAATTAAATTTTAATCATTTCGTTCCAGAAAATAAAGCTGTCCCCGGGAAAAAGTCGTCAGGTACGAAAGAAGATGACGAATCATTCTTGAGAGCGATATTAAGCGGACGAGCTCTCACGACCACTACTCCGGCACCATTAAATGAAATCAACAATGCTGCGTTGCTAGCGGCATTGCTCAAGGCTCAAGGCATAGAACCACCGACTCCTGCGAACAACATCAGAGAGCAACTATTGTTAGCCGTGAGTACGGTTTTTGATTAAGTAAAACGGAGGATAATGATACGGTATGCAACAAAGATTTTCATAACGACTACTTTCTGTTATTTAAGTAGCTTTTATTAAACTGAATAACATTTACAAGAATCGAGTTTTCTACTGTGAAAACTGTAAAAAGATTATGACAAGAAATACTTTTTTTAAAAGCTTTGGAGATTACTTTATTAATGCAACAAAACATTTAATAAAATGTTCCAAATGGAGAACGATGTTTTTGAACTTCTAAGTACTTGAGCTTTCTACAAGTATTATTTCGTGAATAAAGCAATATATCATTTTTTAATCTGGATCTAGAAAACTTCATGTCCCCTCATTCACATTTTATAAGTTAAAGCTTCAAAAATAGATAATTGAAGTACATACAAACATAATTAAACAGTATTTAGAAAATTCAATACTTGTCAAACTAACGCGTTCCGTAAACCCAGTGTAAACACACTGCACGTGGATCGTTTTGCCCATTTCAACTAATACCAACTACAATCGACTCGTTTATCTATTATTCAATAGATTTTCGGGATCTTCAGCAACAGATAGAAATATTTTCAATCATACGTAAAAGTAATAAAACTCTTACTTTCAACTTAAAATGTCACTGAAATAAATCACATAAATTACATTCTACAATTTATCGCAACTGCTACTACTCGACGGTATGTGAAAAGGGTAATACGTCCGCCGCATAAAATGTGCGAAGGAAATGTAGCCCAACATTGTTCTCGATACCGCGGCGAGGCAATAAGAAGCCGGCGATCGCGATGAAAGAAAATAATTGCTCGTCTTGTAACAGAGCATCGGGCAGAGCGTTACCTCCGCTCCGGCCGCATCCCCAACTACCGCTTCTACGACAATTACAACAGTACCAACGTCGGCTGCAACTCGACCTACGGATAAGACGGTGACACCGGGACCAACCTCAAGACCAAGGATACGCACTACAACGTGGACGCCGAGCTCGACGTATCCTCCCCCCCTCTTCAGTTCCTTCTCCAATTACGGTACTCCGGTACAGTCGGCCGGTGGTGATAATTCTGGAAGCGGCGCGTTATTCGGTGCTACCAGGGCGTTCAGTCAGTTTCTTGGTGCCGCGATAAGTGTAAGTTATTACCCATTAATTGCTCGTTCAACACCATCCACGGTTTGCCGATATGATAATGCCGGTAATCGGCAAACGTAATTACACCGTCATAAGGTACAATAAACATCGTTTAATTGCGCCGGTTATTGCGGGAAAGTGAAGCAGAAATCCGTTCGTTGGGATTTATTCGTTAGTTTATCTTCGCTTTCCTGGGGAAATGGTTAATGAAAACATTAATCACCTTTCATTCCTGTTTCCATAATCTGTAGAGATTACTCGTGTAACCAGACATTTCAATTTTCAATGTTGCAGCTAAATTGCTCGCACTCGATTTGTAATTATGTTTGTCTAATGGCGTTTTACGGACAGGTTTCGAGAGAAATGAAATGCTAGTGGGCATGATACTTAAGATTAAATAGACGTCTAGGGTGTGATTGTATGATACGGGTTTAATCTGTGTGGTTGTGTACCAGGTTGTATGAACGTTTGTTTCTCGTTGCTAGTATGTGTGAAGAGGAAAATGATTGGTATAAATTTTCGAGATTTTTCGAGAATATCTTTGATTATAAATATTCATTATTTCTTTCTTAAATTCGTGACGTTTTTCTGCTGTTAACACGAGGAAGAATATTGCATAAGCTAAGACAGAGGTATTTTATTTCAATGATTTATGTGTTGATGCATTATACAACGTTTAATATTGAATTTTAAGTTTTATAAGTTTGCTTCGTTGAATCAAATGACGACTGAGAATCAAAGGTTAATAAATATTGTTATGTAATTTGATCACTAATTGTGAAAATATTATAGTATAGTTACTATTTTCATAAACAACTTATTGTTTACCTCAAGTAGCATTCTCTACTGCTTGAGGTGTTAGTCTGGTTGAATATTTGATGCAAAAACACTTAAGTACTTCTATTCATTCGAAATTATCGGACGAAATTATGAAAATTGATATAGTTATAACTTGATTGATCAAATAATGTCATCTATATAATATACCGATTGAAATGTGTTTCAGGGGGCGGCGCAGCAATTACAGTCCTTAGTCAGAAATGGAACTAAAATTGTGTCCGACGTGGTGGGATGAAGTTGACATCAGGGAAAGAATATTAATATATAATCCTTAGAGTAAGAAATTCTGTTGCGGACGTGACGACTTAAAATGGTACGAGTGTAATTTCGCTTTGGGAATCTGGTGGTAACGATACTTCGAATTAGTAATCGCATAAAAGTATCCGAATCGGTAATTTTCAACAAATTTTATCGGCGAATCATATGTTTGTTTGATGTCGGAGAGACACTTCCTAAACATCTTTCTTTTTCATGTATAGATCGTAGTATTACATGTACTAGTTTGTGCTCTAACTTGTTGGCTGACGTATTCGACTACGTACATACTTTCTTTTAATCAATGTAGATAATAGCGTACATACGTTTTAAGCATTACTCGATTCTGAATCTTTAAAACACGGAGTCTCCGAAGAATAATTTATTTACAATGATGTTTAAAACCTTCGAAGATCTGTTCGAACATTCCTGAAATCTAATTAAACGTTTCTTGCCACATTTGCCAAAATACCACTTCTCATCGAGATTATTAAAGTATTACAACAAATTAATTCATAACGCTAGAACTACTAGATGGATTAACACGATTCTGTATTCCTTTCTCTAAAATTATTGAAGGCACACAAACGATTTTTGGAGAAATTATTAAATAAATCGTCTCAATCAGAAATTTCAATAATTCCATTCTTGTAACTTATACAGGAAATTTACAAATAGTTTCTCTAATCGGTAGTTCTAGTGCATAATAGAACCTAGGAACTAATTTGAAACATCTTACATTTTCAATTTACGTTCCATACACCACGACGTTCGCATTTCGACAATGAACAATCGATTAATACTAGAACTACCGAGCATTTGATATGATTGTTACACGATTCCTATAAACACTCTAAGAATACATTTCTTCGGTTTCTTCAGGTGTCCGTTACAGTATCTAAGAGTGAAACTATTTATTTCCAAGACCAGCTCAGATATTTAATTCCATTAAAACACGAATAATTCTTGAGTAAGAACTAATCTAACCAAGATCCAATTAGTTCTAGTATTACCCGAGCAACTTCGTGTTTTAAACATTAAGAGACAAATTGTTCAACGTTTCGAGTATCGATCCGAGATCGACGGCTTCGCAAATGTTTCTGGGGTACCGGGCAGAAACGGTTGCACGCCACGTACCGGTTGAGACATTTGTAACGTTCGTCGCAATTAAGGTAATTAATCGGGGCCGACGGTGCTCGTCACGGCGACGATTCGCGTGCGTTCCGTGTGAAACCTGGGACTCGACGCAAGTGAGGCCCACCCACAAAGATCGATTTAACGACGAACTCGTCGGCGATGCTGTTCAGAAAGGTGGTTAGCTTAAAGCGTCTCTGAATGGGAGCGAGAATGAGACATGTGTGCATGCGTGTGAATAAGTTGGTGTATGAGAGGGAATGTGTAAAAGGGAGATATAAAGAAAGAGGGAGCGAGAAAGAGAGAGGATAAGGAGAGAGGAAAGAAAGAAAGGGAGGAGGAGAAAAAGAGAAGCGAAAGGGTGGTTCGACAGTGAAGCGTCAACCGAGAGCATTGTGTACAGTTCGCGCGCACCTTGACTGTTGGTGTGCCGCGCACCTTTTTTTCCTTTTTTATATAATAAAGCTGGAAGTGTGTATAGTACACGGGTCCTTGGAGTCTTGTTTGTCTTTCATTCGCGCGGATGGTAGCTCGCCAGTAATGATAGCGGCGTGTAATAAGCTTGGCAACTTAACGAGCACGAGCTAAGGGTTGAAACGTTGACGGCGGTTCTTTTTCCTCGTATTCGGGAATTTAGTGATATAGCGTATTGTAGTTGCACGGTCCCGCTGGAATTTCGTCGCGGCGGGATCACGCGGGCGAGTGTCATCGCGGAGGACTTTTCATGCGTTCAGCGACGCGGCTCTTTCAACCCCTTGCCCTATCACTTATTTCTTAATTATGATCGATATACTAGTTTATCGCTCATTTATTAGGGAAAGAAAGGATCTTGATGTTTGTTGTATGTCTACGTTAACTCCAAAGGTTAAGGAAATATTTAAATAATATTTTATTTAAAAGGAAATAAATAATACTTAGACTTCTCGAATTCAATTGAAAATTTTTATGACGAGTCTCATAGATTATTGTAGGTCTAGGGGTTAACCCCTTGCGCTATGATCCACTTCGCAAGTTTAGAACTATTTTGTTGTTCATTCTTCGTTGGAAGAAGAATTCTATGATTATTCTATATTCTAAGGTTACTTTGAAGTATTAGAAGTGGTAGTATTGGGAAATTATAGATAGATAGAAATATCTGTCATAATGGAAAAGTAAATATATTATCATAATAGCAAAGTAAAGAAATTGTTACGATACAAAAATAATATTAGGTCTACTGAATAGTTTTATCGATAATGTTATTTCAGATTTCCAGAGATGAGTGATTCTCTGGAAATGAAATCAGTAAATATTAATAATAATTTTCAGTAAATATTAATGAAGGTATATTGTAAATTTATTATTTTGTTTTAATTTAAATATGGATAGAACTTTCCGATAGATCTAATGTTTCATTTGGATTTCGAAGAATTAAGTGATATTTAGATTTTTCATTTGTATTCGAAACATTTGCTGCGAATCTGACACGATACCGTAGGGCAAGGGGTTAAGGTCGGCGTTTCGAGGCGTTTATTGAACACACTTACACGAATCCCTCTGTAATTTTCGATTTTGTGTGCCGATAATTATGTACGGTTCGCGCGCCGTTATTTATAAACGAAGTGAAGAAATAAACGTATTGGGATTTCCAGATCCACGAGTACCTTTTTTCTTCGTGCCTTTCTCCGAGAATTACTTCCTTGCCGCGTTAAAACTGAATTTCACGGAATTGTCGTTTCATCGGTGATTTATGAAATTTACGTGTGTTTGAACGAAGGTTTGTTCCTTCATTAACATAAATTAATGAGCGGATTTTTATTGGACTAAGGGAATCACTTTTGGATATTGCTTGTTAATCGTAAAATTTTATTTCGCAGTTTTGTTCTTTAACCGTAAATAATTGTCACCCTTTATTTGCATTTTTTTAAACCGTACGCTTGTGGTTTTCGTTTAATGTTCTTTTAATAGTTGACGTGTAACCTTTGAGTTGTGACATAATAAATTGTAGACCCACGCGAGAACAGTTTATTCCTCTGAATTTTAATACCTATGGAAAACAAAGCACATTGGTAAGTATATTTCATATATTCCCTACTTCAAGATTTTACCCATAATTATAAGCAACTACAACATTCCAGAAAAATTGAAATTAAGAAAAAAAAACAGTAAAACTAAAATAAAAAGATGTAAAAAACAATTAAATGTAGAAGAAACATTTTTTATTACCTTTAATATTCAATATTTAAGTGAAATACCTAACATCGAATAACAATGTTCAATAGCATAAGTAACTAGATAACAGTGTAACCTAAGAATTGTAGTACTAAATAATTAATAATTGTTCCTCTTTATTTTTGCAACAAAAGAATAAACGACACACAAAACTTTAAAGTTTCTCGGGTCAATCAACGTGTTAATAACTTCTAGTTCCGTTCCTCGCTCGTTCCAGAGGCGAGCCATTTTATTTTTCGTCTTTACAATTCATGACGTATATTGGCTATCATTTTTTCCACGTAACGGCAAATTTATTCCCGTCGATTCGAAGCGGGACGGAAATTGTTATTCAAAATAGCTCTAGATATAACGGCCGTCAACTTAGCATAATCAGAGTGTGAAAATAAACTTGTTCCTCGACTATGATTAGTTCGCGTGACATACGATTTCAATTAATGATCCAGACGGTGTTTACGATGAGCACGGCGGGCAGGGATCATTCAATTAAAGTATGATACCGGAGCATCGTCTCCTTTAGTACCGAGGATGCCAGAAAATAAAATGTTGGAGAACGCGGATAAACTTTACGCACCTCCTTTTCTCCGTTCTTTTTTCCGCAGAGTTCCCCTCCTTTACGCGAACGACGCCGAGGGTCGGTCTAGAATATTAATCACACGCTATGACGTATTTAACAGTCATTAGGGACAGCTGACTAGATAGGATGTAAGTGTGTATTCAGATGTAGAAAGTGACAGGGACCGTCTTCTCTTGCACGCACCGACAGGAACAATAAATTACCCTTTCAAAATTATCCGATGTAATATAGTCGTGAAGTAACTATAAGAAAATTTCTTTCATCTCGGTTGTAATACTGTGACTGCGTAACGTGACGATTTAATTTGAACCAAGCTGTTTCTTGCTGAAAGTTGCTTGCTTTAGTAAAATGCTGGTATGTAGAATTCACTAAAGAAGATTATAAGAAAAATTTCTTGTCAAAGTTGTTACAAAGGACCAAGCTCTTTTTTGTTGAAAGTTGCTTGTTTTGTTGAACTGCTGATATAATGAATTAATTAAAAGATTAACTGATATAATTAAATAAAGAATGATACGAAAATTATTTCTTGTCAAAAGTTGCTAGTTTTCTCGAACTATTAATATAAAGAATTAATAAGTTCGCTTAAATAAATCCTCCGAGAAGTCGATTAGTTAATGTTTATGCATTTTCATAGATACTTTCGCTTCAACTTCTTAAAAGGATTGCTTTCTTTGCACATCATCGATATATTTATCAAGGAAACGTATGTAAGAAAAGAAGTATGTATAACTTAAACACGAGTATAATAATATTAATAACTTTCGAAGGAAATATGGAATATGTTTTTCTCTGCAATTCTGACTCATTATTATCGTTGAAATTCGATAAAAATACATTTCGAAGATTTTAGTGCTTTTGAAATCACTCAGCCAATTTTTCTCCGTGGGAATACATAAATATCTTTTAGAACTTATGAATTAAGAATTAATGAACTGTAAATCGGTTGTATCCAAATATTGCAATAGTTAATGAATCTCGAAGATTATATATTTTATTCATCAGCATTACTGCATTGCGCAATATGCAGTTCCATGCATTGAGGTAAATGCGATATTTATGCATCGTTACTTTAGTTATTCAATTAAGGTTTACTCGTGATCTTACGTTACTTTATTCAAATTCAATTACACGAGAAACTCTGTTGGCAATCGAAATAATATGTAATAGACTGTACGGTTTACCAGATTATAAAGAGATATTTATTTCCTGTAGAACTTAACTTATTCCTTTAAATACTTCTTAGACTAGTATGACTAAAAACTAAGTAAAATGAAGTTTTCCACTTTTTCGATTAGTAGGTAAACAGTAAATAATGTGAATTTTTCTACTCAAATGTTAGTAATTTAGAGAAGGAGAATCATTTCGAACTTAAAGGTAAATACAATCAATTTATTCACTTTTTCAATTATTACGACTTAAAGTAAATAAAATGAATGTCTCCACTTCTTAGATTAGTACAACTCAAAGCAAATGAAACGAATTTTTCCACCTTCGAAATACCTACAACTTCAACATAAACAAAACGAATTTCTACTGAAATGTTAGCACCGCGAAGGAAGAGAATCATTTCCCGTAACAAAGAAGCACCCGATTCCCGATTACCAGCGGCGACATTGAAATTTCTGCTGCCACCGTTATCGGTCCTTGTTTACACTGAACAACCACGCACCGTGTGCCGTGATTTCAGCCTGAAACGCGGCGCAAAGCATGCTGGGAGGACGAAAGGGTAAGAGAGGACGGTTGTACAGGTCTCGCCGGGCAAGCCGGCCACGAAAATCCCTGAAACGGAATTTCGCGCCGATAAATAACAAGAGAGCTCACCGACAATACCGGCTCGAATCGTTTGGTACCACATGCCACTTGGTACTCCGGTAATTTAAATAAATTAACGGAGAGCAAGCGTACCGAGGCCTGCATGCTCTATGGCGTTGGAGAAGAAGGAGAAGAATGGGACGGGAAAGAAACAAGGGAGGAAGAGAGAGGGAACACGGATAAGGAAGAAGTAGTAGTAGAAGAAGAAGAAGAAGAAGAAGAAGAACCAGAAGAAGAAGAAGAAGTAGAAGAAGAAGAACAAGAAGAAAAAGAAGAAGAAGGAGAAGAAGACGAAGAAGCGTGTACGCACGGATCGATTGTAAGACTGGAACACCCACGCGTGCTCGCGATGCCTTCGTGGGTTTTTTCTTCTCCTCTCGGATAATTACAGCTAATGGCGGTCATTGAGAATGCGAGATGCGTACCACTCTGCGTACGTGTACCACTCCAGCGTTGAATGCTGCTGAATGCTGCTGGCTACTCCACGATAACACACGGCTCGCATTCTGCGGCTCCGACGATATTTAATTTATCGGTTGAATCGTTAAGTGGACGCGGCATTATCAAATCAGACGCACTTCCACGATCCGCTCGACTGTGATCGAATCGATCCTCAGGATCGGAGAACGCGTTACAAGAGGATGGAAGATGCAAAGTACTTCGTAGGAATTTTCCGTTATCTCTTGCGGAAAAAGAAAGATTATCACTCTTAAAAACCTTATTTTTCCCGTTCTCCTGAAAAATCGTCAACCACTGATACCATGTTAATTACCCTGTGTCTTTATTAACTACATTTCTCAAGACAGTCCTTCAGTGCATCCTTTTGACGGATGCAGTAGTCCTACTGTTAATTAACCATTCCAGCTTCAGAAATCTTCTACTTAACACGTTCGCGGACAATAAAAATCTCAGTGACTCACAGAAATACACAACCGATTAATACAGTACTCCAACGGTTGAAGTGCTTGATAATTCCAAAAAACTTATTCAATTCAAAATAATGTGCTCATAAATCTGAATATAACAGCATTCATCATTTCGCACAATGAAAATGAATGCTATATTTACGTCTCTGAGCCTGTTAACTCGTGATTCCAATAGAAACGATTTCCTTCGCGCCAACGTTGGAAACTATCAACTTCATCCGCACGATTCGCGATGCATAAGGAAAAAATAACTGTATCGTACAGCTCTCGCAACATTTCGTTGCACTTATCTGGTGCATCGAATCTCATAGCGCAGCGTTAGCCATAAAGTCGCTGGTACCAGATACCTTCCCGTCCTGATTCCGCGTCCATACAGAATTCTAGCGATCGATCTCGTCCGGAGATACGATAAATGTATCCGAGCAAGGACGTCCTTAATTATCCGTCGGTTGGACAGTTTTGCAATCCAATTTGCGGTTCATCGTACACCGAATCCCTTCTGTATTGAATCATTGAAAATGTAGCAACACACGGCTCACGACGCGTCGTGAGTCAGCCTGTCATCTCTGGAATCGCGGCGCGGCGCGGCGCAGCGCGGTTTTCTTGCGCATTCCCACGATAGATCGGTGTCGCAATTGCGACAATGCAAGCCGATTGCACACGTGGAGGATCGAACCACGGCTACACGGCCTCCGCGTGTTTCTTCTCCCGCGCGCTGGCATCGGACTCTTTCGCGAAAATTACCCCTCCAATCAATGAAACGATAAATCGCTTCTCCCCGGTGATGGACGACTACGCTCTCCGCGAGCTGATTAACAGTTACTCCGCCTTTTATTGCTTCCATTGACAGTCCATTGTTTATAGAATATTACCTCCACGGCTGTGCGAGAGTTCGCCGCGGCGCTACGGAGAATGATCGACTGTATGAGAATGTATCGAAAAAGTTGCGGTCGGTGAAACGAGAAAGGATTTTTGCTCGGTTCACTGAGTTTTTTGTTGAATCGCCGATGAGAAGTTTGCGTGGATTTTCGGATTATCTAATGGGAATTTTTGAGAAAGTTTGTAATACTTAATAAATTATT